CTTCGGTGGAGCTCCCTATGGGGCCACGAAACGTGTGAGGGGTGTGCCGAAATGGGTGGTGGGGAGGCATGCGAACCCTGCCACTGGGGCCTTCGCTGGGGTCCTGGTGGGGAGGCATGCGTGCCACTGGGGCCTTCGGTGGAGCTCCCTATGGGGCCACGAAACGTGTGAGGGGTGTGCCGAAATGGGTGGTGGGGAGGCATGCGGACCCTGCCACTGGGGCCTTCGGTGGAGCTCCCTATGGGGCCACGAAACGTGTGAGGGGTGTGCCGAAATGGGTAATGGGGAGGCATGCGGACCCTGCCACTGGGGCCTTCGGTGGAGCTCCCTATGGGGCCACGAAACGTATGAGGGGTGTGCCGAAATGGGCGTGGGTGACGATGACGATGATGATGACGATGATAATGATGATGATGATGATGATGATGATGATGATGATGATGATGATGATGATGATGATGATGATGATGATGATGATGATGATGATGATGATGATGATGATGATGATGATGATGATGATGATGATGATGATGATGATGGTGGTGGTGGTGGTGGTGGTGGTGGTGGTGGTGATGGTGATGATGATGGTGGTGGTGGTGAAGAGGGAGGAGGGGGAGGAGGAGGAGGACAGGAACGCGGGGCACCGTCTCTTCAAAACGAGGACCCAACACCACAGGATGGTTGGGAAAAAACAAAAAAACGCACTCACACACATAGTTACACACATACACACACAACACCAAACACGGGACCCACCCAGACCCCTGGCCCTGGGGACCCCAGGCTGTCCAGGGCTCCTGGATGCCCCAGCTGGGCCTTGCCAAGGGGCCCAAATCGGTTTGTTGCGTGATTTGGAAAAGCCCTCCAAAACGATCCACAAGGGCTTTCAGACAGCTCATCAAAGCCCCAAGACGACCCAACAAGGCCCCAACACGGCCCGAAGAGAGCCCCATGACGGCCCAAGATGGCCCCAAGACGCCCCCGAAGCACTCCAAATCGTGACCCGGTCGTTCAGGGAGGCTGCGGTTGGAAGCAGGGTGGCCCGAGGAAGCCCCGAGAAGAACCCAGGAAGGCACCCAGGAGGCCTTCATACTGCCCCAAGAAGCTTCTAAACATTGACTTGAGGCCCCCAAGAAACTCTCCAAGGAGGAGCATCCGCAAAAAGAGCTGAGGAGGTTGGGGAAAGGTTCGCAGGGTAGGGCGAGAATGAAGGAGAGGAAGAGGAAACATGAAGGAAGGAGAAGGACAAGCATTATCTGACGACGGTGCCGTAAACGGCAACAGTGAGTTATCGATATCGTTGTTACTGTGTTTCCTCTCCTTCCGCCTGCATGCCAAGCCTGAAGGACCGAGGTGCATGGCGCGTATCGCCAAAACAATATTGCATTATAAATGTACACATGTACATGTTCAACGTGTATATAGATATGTATAATGACCGCTTCAGTGATCCAGAAGCTACAGAATCGCAGGTTGAACCTTCCTTACACATGGAGAAACGCATGCAGAATGGAGAAACATGAAGCCTCCAGAGTGGAGGTGGAACCCCTGTTCTGAGGATGCGCAACTCGGTTGTCCGCGCGGACCTCCGAAAGTTGATGCTCGTGTCGGTCTGCCGTCTTCGACGCTACACACCTACGCCGATCCTGGCCAGGCCAACCCCGGACCCAGGATCGAGGCCCCTCCTGGGCCCGGGATCTGAGCAAGTATGCGTTCTCCTGGCGTGGCTCGGAGGGCATCTGCACCGGCGCTGGGGCCAGGACTGGCCCTCTCCATTGTCGGTGCAGGCGTAACGTGTGGCGCCCTCCGACCGCGGATGGCCCGCGGATCGGGCGGGGTACGGGAGGTGAGCAGGCGGAGCTGCGAGGTGGTCCTCCTCCTCCTCCTCCTCCTCAGCCGTTCCTCCACCTCCTCCTCCTCCTCCTCCACCTCCTCCTCCTCAGCCTCCTCCTCCTCCTCCTCCTCCTCCTCCTCTTGAATATCATCCTCACCCTCATCCTTTCACTCCTCCTCCTCCTCCTCTTCCTCCTCCTCCTCCTCCTCCTCCTCCTCCTCCCCTTCCTCCTCCTTTCCTTTTCCTTATTAAATTCTCCCTGTCGCACCCTGAGGCCAGTTTTTAGAGCGGGCCAGGCGTTTCGCCAGAGACTTCCCCACCATTTATGACCCTGAAGCTTAAACATCGGCAACAGATTCACAGATGGAAGGCGGGACGTTTTCAAAATGTGGCTCTCGCCCTAGCGCCGCAAACATTCGTTTTAATCATTTGCAGAAATTTCACGGATTGAGGGCGGGTCGTTTTCAAAATGTGACTCTCGCCTTTGCGCCGCGCACAATCGTTTTCCAAATTTGCAAGAGCTTCACGGGTTGAGGGCAGGTCGTCTTCACAATGTGGCTTTCGCCTTAGCGCCGCGCATACTCGTTTGTAAACTTGTAAGAGACTCACGGATTAAAGGGCGGGCCGTTTTCAAAATGTGGCTCTCGCCTTAGCGCCGCGCACATTCGTTTTAAACATGTGGAAGAGCTTCTCGGATCGAGGGCGGGCCGTTTTCAAATGTGATTATCGCTGCAACGCCGCGCACATTCGTTAAACTCTGTAAGAATTTCACAGATTGAGGGCGAGTCGTTTTCAACATGTGGCTCTCGTCTTAGCGCTGCGCACGATCGTTTTAAACAGTTGCAATTGCTTCACGAATTGAGGGCGGTTCCTTTTCAAAACATGGCTCTCGCCTCAGCACCGCGCAGAGTCGTTTTCAAAATTGCAAGAGTTTCATGTGTTCCCATGATCAACGCACCAGGAACGGCGTTTTATAAGGATTCTGACTTATGAGGACGCAACAGTTACGTTACTGGCGGTGTTGAAGCCCAAGAACTGCGTTCTGGCGCCATTCAGGCTCGTCAAGACAAAACAGTCAGGATGGTCCGTGGCGTTGGAGTCCCGAGAAAAATGTTTTGGCAGGCTTCAGGCTCTTCAAACGGTTGTCTTCCAACGAGGCAGTTCCCTCTAGGGGCGGAGGGAGCTTGGAGGGAGGGTTTATTCCAACATCGTTGATGCCTCTTGGGTTTACACTGGTCCTCCTCCTCCTCCTCCTCCTCCTCCTCCTCCTCCTCCTCCTCCTCCTCCTCCTCCTCCTCCTCCTCCTCCTCCTCCTCCTCCTCCTCCCCCTCCTGGCCCCGTTTGGGACCCCAGAGGGCACCTTTAGGGGCCCTGCGCCCCTTTTCTGCAGCCCTCGCTGCCCCCCCCCCCCAATTTATCGCCCCCGGGGCGGGCGGGGGGGTCCGGGAGGTGAGCGGGCGGAGCTGGTGGTCCTGGCTCTCCGATGCCGGGGTGGGCGAAAGGGGCGAAGGCGTTGGGGGTGGACCAGCTCGGGGGGGGGGGGAACATCGAGCTTGGATCGGCGATGCATCGCCAATGGATTGGCGATGGCCCCCGACAGCGAAACCGCACGGTCCTGGGCGGGGTGTGTTATCGGGTCCCGTATCGGCGATCGATGGCCGATTGGGGGTCGATGCGTCCCACCTGGGCATATTTCCCCCTAGCGTTGCCCCCGAAGGGAAGGACGCGGCACAGCAGACTTGAGTCGTGGCGACCTGCACGTGGGACGCCCACGCTGGGGGTCGTCCCCGCGTCGACACGACGCGAAGCTGCCGTAGTCGAGGGGGGCGGGCTGGGGAATCAGCTGCACACAGCTCCTTTTCTCGACGCCGGGAGCGACCATGTACGTCGAAGAGCGCGCTGGGCGGAGGGGCCGAAACCAGCTGCACGCAACAAGTCTCAGACCCCACCTATTCCCGTCCCCTTCTCTTGTCCACCCGGACGATGGTCCACACCGACGATGGCGACCCTACATCGGCGGAGAGTGCTTGTGCTTGCTGGAGGTGTCTGGGACGCCAAAGCCTCCACGAGGCGAGCCCAGCCGGCAGATCGAGCCTCGTGTCCTCCGATCTCCAATGGACCTGACTTGAGGGGCAATTCCTCAGATCTCGTGCTCAACCCGCTGAGACCAGGTGGGCGAGACCGTAGCATCTGGACTGCGGTGTCGCGCGGGCCCTGGCGGGGGTTGCCTGAGGTGCTCGGAAGCCCTCGGCTCGATCCCGAAGGCGTTCGGACTAGGCGGACGAGGAGTGCAACAACTGCGCGTCGACCCCTGCCGCGGGGGCAACTTTCCCCGTCATTGGCAAGTCACCAGTTTTGACGGCCCCGGGTCCCCAAGACGGCCCCGCAGAGGCGGAGACGTTGAAAAACGCCCTGTCTGGCATGCCACCTCGGGCTGGCCTGGTCGCCTCAGGCAGGGGCCCAGACCTTCGACGTCGTGGTCTTTTGTGTGGTTGCAGTGCGGGCCCCCCGCAGGACGTGTAGCCGGCGCTTCCTCCCGGAAGCGTGCTCCTGGCGGTTCCCCGGGAGGCCTCCCAGAGGCCGGCCATCGGGGGCAGGCCCGCGGCCCCTGCGGCCCAGAGGTGGCTCCCGGATGCCCGCAAGGTGGAGAGGGCCCGCCGTCCCCTGGACCCGGGAAGGGCCCTCAGAAGCCAACGATGGGGGGCGGGGAGGGGGGGGGGCGTGTTTCGGCGGCGCGTCGAGGGTTAAGTCGGGCCTGTCCCCCTACAGGCCGATGTTCGAGGACAAATTTCAACAAGTCAGAAAATAGGCAAAAATGATCCAGAAATTCCCAAAAAAAGGTCCCCCGACTATTTGTTTACTATTTTTTATTATTCCTCCTGTAGAGGGACAGGCCCGACTTAAGTCGAGGGGGGAAGTGGGAGGGGGTGGGGCTGCTCAGACGGCGGGGCTTTTCAGAGGCCCTCCGCCCCTCTGAGAAGCCCACCTGCGGCTCTGGAGGAGGCTCAGGAGCTGCTTTGTCGGAAGGCCAGAGGCCTCCTGAGCCTCATGAGAAGACCCGCCCGCTCTGCCTTCCCCCCTCGGCGAGCAGCCGAGTGATGCTCCGCAGCGTGAAGGGGCCCGGGGAGGTCTGGCCCCTCGCCTCGCGCGGCGCGGCGCGCCCGTC